TTGCCAGCAACAAGTCCATACCTTGCTCCAGCGGAGGAATCTTCTTCAATTCCTCTCGCACCTCCTCCAATTCCCTCGCGAACTCCTCTCTCGTTCCCTCCGTCTTCTCCTTCTCGCGATCATCGGTGCGTCTCGTCATTCCAGGAAAGTGCTCTGATACCAATTGATAAGCTCCAGAATCGATTGTCACAGAAAGATGGCAAATTGGAAGAGAATTTGTATTACTGGAATCAAGAATCAACAATGGCGACAGAAAAGAGTAAAGAATGGTATGGGGATTTTCGAGAGATCCCGTGCTCTCCTAACAAACTTCCTACGAAGAATAACAAACTGCAATAATACTCTACTAGCCTACCTCTATCTTATTTATATACTCTACTAGCCTACCCTTAACAGACTCCAGCCTAACTAACTTCCCGTCCCCTAACTACTTTGCTGGCCTATTACTCGACCATCTTGCAAACTCAGCTTTTCCCCCCTGCCCCTTCTCCTTCGAGCATATGTGAACCACACAGGAGGCTTATCACAGAGCTTATGTTCAATACAATTGACCAACAGGACGGCTAAACATGTGCCTTTCAAGCTTGTCACTTTGGAATCTTCTGACTTTATGTATACGTTCTCTTTTGAATGAACATTTTATTCGCTACAATTTCAACTATAATATATGCATTTACTTTGTATAATTTGCTTGCACATTTTTTAGACAATTTCTGAGAAGTTTTGGCTAGAATAAATATTAAATGGAGCGGAATTAATTTCAGTCTCTCTTTGGTCCTCCTTAATCTAGGTTTTTTTTATTTATTTTTTATTTTTTTATATCCCCATTTCTTTGGTTGATATATTTCTTTGTATTCTTTTAAGGTTGAATGAGATTTTGATTTTGGTTTTAATCTCTCATATAAATATATATATCTAATTGAAATTGTGTTGCTTCGTGTTTGGTCTTTTTCTTTTCCTTTTCCTTCAACTTGGTATTTAATGCGTATTCTTCCAATGCTTGATGAGGTATGTTTATTCTTCATTCTTTCTGTTTTTTAGTTGTTCAATGTTCTTAATCTTTCTTGGAGATTGGTTGCAGAATTTGCTTATTTAAGTTTCTTTTTATTTATATCCATTTCTACTCTTGCTGTAACACTTGTGTCTTGTTAAATGGTGCTTGATTTACTGGGTCAGTGAGTAATTTTAGTTGGTGCTTATCCTGCTGTTCCTAGTATTATGAAAGCATGCCAACACAAATGATGATATTTTAGTCCCGTGCCTACCTATGAATAAGCAGTAAATATTACTTAATATCTATGTCTAATATACTATGTTAGTGATCAGTTTATCAAGTATCTAACTGCTTTTACCATTCATGCATATTTGTTTGATTAGTAGTGGCGTAAAACTCAAGGTGGGCCAATGAATTTCCAATGTGATACTTCAAATCGCACGAGTTTTAATTTTTTATGTGTAAATACTGGCCTAATAAATGAGCTTGACATCATAAATCTCCCATGGTTTGGTGTTAATATTGAACCATCATGTTTGTGGAAATTGTTTTTGCAGGATACTATTATAATAGGTGTAAACAGCTACCAAATTGAATATGAGATTCATTGATGGTAGCGGAAGGAAAGTTTCCAATTGGTAAAGGTTTTCATCCAAATCAATTCATGAGCTTCTTTGAGCTATATTTTAGTTGTACACATTTATCCCTAGAGTCTGTTTCTTAAACGACAATTGAGGGTTTAAGATTACCTAACAATTGAGTATTTCTTGCGGATGACTCAAAGATGGGAAATAACAGTTTTTTTATTTTTGTTTTATTGACGTATGAATTAGTTTAAAAATGATATGAGGACTGTATCCCTTGTGTCACGTGCTTCCATTTCATTGTAGTCTTACACGCTGCATATCTTTTCAACATAAATTTGCTTCTTTATGTTAGCATCAATATTTCTCTTTTGGTAGGTGTATTCTCTTCCTTGCCTCAGATTTAGTATGCTCCCTTTATGTGGTAAGAATTGCATGCCCTTGTCGTCGATGATGGACAAGTCCAGCCATAGTAGGTAGGTTTCTTTGTTGTTGCGTCTTATAGTGTGCATTATGAATTTCATCCGATTGCTAAACTTGTAAGTAATGATATCTTATGTGACGACTGGTTATCATCTATGTATAAGTATTCTTTCTGTGATTAGTTTGTGTTGTTTTGTTCTTCTCTGAATTAAACATTTATCAAAGTGCATTTTGTGATTTTCGACAAGTTAGCGAGCACAAAGTTGATATGGATGAGGGTGCAATCTTATGACGCCAAAGGGTAGACCAATCATGATCATATTACTCTCATTCCATGATGGTATTTGAAGGGAGAAAGATAACGTTAATGCAATTCTATTAAAGCATCTCGTAAGGGTAATAATATGGGTTAGTATTTATTGGACATATTATAATATCATAATATTTACTCTTTGATACATTACATTACTTATACATATAACATAAGGGTAATTTATTTAACATGAAAATATGCATGTTCCATTTCATAGTATTTTAAAATCACAACCAAAATAATGAATGAGCTTTTTGTATCATTCCCCCACACCAACCAAACGCACCCTTAAGGTTTGTCCCTTTTGTTTTGCTTTATTCTATTAATTTTTAAATGATGCCTTGAGTTTTTCTTTTCGTTTTGTGTTTTCCTTACGGGCTTAACGTTTTCATCTTCATATTCATTGTAGGAAAATTTACTGCCGTTATCACTAAGCCATTGAAGAGAGAGAGAGGAAAAAAAATGGAAAAGTAAGAAAAAGATAGGGAAAAATAAGTTAGATGAGATCAAGGGAAAAAAATAATGAAAAGTATCTAGAAATATAAGAGACGACAAAAAGAAAAATAAAATGAAAGCAGAAAGGAAAAGAGAAAAGAAAAAAAGGAAAAAAGGAAACAAATAATAATGGTAAGAATAGGGATAAGAAAAGAGAGAGACAGAGAGGGAAGAGGGAGGGGGTGAAGGAAATGGATTAAAAAGAGAGACAAAGGGAGATACGGAAATGGAGTAAAAAGAGAGAGACGAAGGGAGATATAGAAAAGAAAAATAAAAAAAATAGAAAAGATAGAGCGAGAGAAGGGGGGAGGAAGAGAGGGAAGAGTTAAAAGGTTAAGAACAAATGTTGGTCTAGCTGTAACTTCGAAAGTTGCTGAGATCTTATTCAGCTTTTTGCTGTGAGAACAAGATAAGAGAGAGAAAGAGTGGAAATTGAAGAGACTGAAAAGAACGAAAAAAAGCAAGTGTGAGGGGGAAAAAAGAAAGCAAAGAAAAAGAAAAAAGAGGGAGAAATTGTTTGATGAAATATAAAAAGAATCTTTCACTGATGGCGTACTTTTCTTTCTTTTTTTTTTTTTTTTTGGCTAGAAACTTATGGTGTATTGGCATCATTATCGTGTAAACAGTCAAAAATAAATGTTGTCATCACGCTTTCTCTTTCTTGTCTTGTTTGATAGGTTCGGTAGAGTTCCACTCGCACTGCTTAGTACAAAGCTCAAGACAAATATGCCTTTTAGCAAATTCATTTGACAGGTTAGTATCTTTTTTCTCTGTTCTCCAGCCATATAGTTAAGTTCAATGATCATGTTTTCATTGAACAAATGGGTAAAGTTCAAGTTCATTTATGGATTCAATAATTGTATTATGTTTCTTCTACTAGTAATGCGCACTAACGAAACTGATTCTATGTTTTTGTTTTTTTGTTTTTTTTTTGTTTTTTTTTTTGTAGAAGGATATGGTCATTTTTTTTAACTTTCCCCCTAAAAGTCCATCTTAGTTTTATTGAATGTTATTTTCTGTTCATCATTATCGTGTAAACAGTCAAAAATAAATGTTGTCATCACGCTTTCTCTTTCTTGTCTTGTTTGATAGGTTTGGTAGAGTTATAAAAAGAATCTTTCACTGATGGCGTACTTTTTTTTTTTTTTTTTTTTTTTTTTGGCTAGAAACTTATGGTGTATTGGCATCATTATCGTGTAAACAGTCAAAAATAAATGTTGTCATCACGCTTTCTCTTTCTTGTCTTGTTTGATAGGTTCGGTAGAGTTCCACTCGCACTGCTTAGTACAAAGCTCAAGACAAATATGCCTTTTAGCAAATTCATTTGACAGGTTAGTATCTTTTTTCTCTGTTCTCCAGCCATATAGTTAAGTTCAATGATCATGTTTTCATTGAACAAATGGGTAAAGTTCAAGTTCATTTATGGATTCAATAATTGTATTATGTTTCTTCTACTAGTAATGCGCACTAACGAAACTGATTCTATGTTTTTGTTTTTTTGTTTTTTTTTTGTTTTTTTTTTTTGTAGAAGGATATGGTCATTTTTTTTAACTTTCCCCCTAAAAGTCCATCTTAGTTTTATTGAATGTTATTTTCTATTCAGCTTCTAGTTGTATACTTGGGACTGAATTGTATGAAGAACTGTTAGAATATTAGAAAGACACAAATGTTAGTCTAGTGGTGGCCGTCACTGAATGAGCCTTTTTACATTGCTGAGATCTAATTGCTAAGCTTCAAATTGCATTTCTTTTTTATTTCCTTGAGCATTCAAGATATCATAAGCAAATGCTCTTTTATTTTGATTATCATTTGCCTTTGTTAATCAGCTTCTGATCCAACTGGTTTATAGTAATTATTGTTAATGTATAATTCTCTATGATGGTGTGCATAACTCATAAAGTGACCTTGCACGTCCAGTTAGTTTTCTGAGTTATGCAGCCTTTATGTTTTATCTGGCTATTTCTAGATGAATTACTAGTTTTTTCTCAAGAAGTTGGCAAATCATGGGAACTAAACAAAACAAGCTAAAGGGTTTGTGTTTTTGTGCGTGTGTGTGAACTTTCTCTAGGTGGTAGCTACTAATATGATTTGCTTCTTACAAGTCAGGTATGTGGATTGTCAGAGAGTCTTGCACGATGGAGTACAGAATCTAAAGCTCGCGCGCGTGTGAACTTTCTCTAGGTGGCAGCTTCTAACGTGGTTTGCTTCTTACAATTCAGTAATGTGGATCGTTACAGAATCTTGCATGGCGGAGTTCGCAACAATAGGATCAGCTGCATACCTATTTATGAACTCTTTAGAAGAATGGAGACAACTTGAGCCTTCTGTAAGTGCTTCAAATTTTTCAGTTACATGTTTTCTTGCTTGATTTTTGTTGAATTATGACACGGTAGTGAAACTTCAATGGAGGGTGTTGTCATAGAAACCATTCATTCCTACTGCTAAGTATGAAAGATCAAAGTAGTATTGTCGTTTACAAAACCATTCGAAAGGTTGGTGTTTTCTTCTCTTTCCAATTTTCTAACTTCCAAATGTAATGTTCATTTCACATTAGAGAAGAATGCTTATATGCATTTTGGGCTTCTTTAATTTGACTAGGTTGTTAAAAAAATTTTGATTAGGTTTATATACATGAATTGGCAGGATGTTATAGGAAGATAGATGTCTTTAGAATCTTTGATGTTGTTGTGTTGTGTTCTTAGACCTACTTATTTTCGATTTTATTATGAGGATTTCTCATCAAAAAAAAAAAAAAAAGCAAAAACAAAAACAAAAATTGACTAGGTTGTTTTCCACAAAAACAAAAATTGACTAGGTTGTTTTCCAGGGTAGTAGATTTGCAATTGGAAAAAAAGATGTAGCGTTGAGTTTAAATTGGAATTTTGTTCTAACTTATTGGCAAACACGACTAATTGTTCACCTAGATATAAAGTTTTAATTCTATTTTGGAAAGGTTTTTTGTTTTTTTATTTTTTATTCTTTTCTTTTGTTTTTTTATTTTTTATTTTTTATTTTTTGCAACAAGGAAAATTTAGTATATTATTTTCTTTTTTCCTATTGTTCTTCAATTGCATGATGCCAGTTTATCTTTGTTTGGAGTAGAACAAGAGAATGGAGAAATGAGCCTACACATTTTGCATATCTAAGCAAGACAAACCCCTTTCTCCAATAAACTCATATGTTATTCTTGTTAAGTGTATGTATTGGTTTTATTTGTCTTTTGTAAATTATATTTATTGTTTAATTCTTGATATTTAAATCTTACAAAGTTATTTATTGATTGATTTATTTATTTTTTGTTTATGTTTATACTTTTTAAGATGAGGTGTTACCAAAAGGCAAACATCATTTTCATTTTCAGACGATAGTAAGATGAGGTAATACAAAAGAAAAATAACCTCTAATTTCTTCTTTGTTTTAGACATTCATTCTTAATGTCAGTGTGAATTAAAAACTATTTGTTTTCTTAAGTGCTTTTGAGGATTTGTATTTTAGGGTTCAAATACTCATTAGATTCACTGTTTCTTTATTGGCTCCATTGAGTATCCCTTGTTATTAGTATTCATCGTTATTGAATTAGTTATCAAATTTTGTCAACTAATTGGAACATGTTCCCTCACTATACAGTTTGATGGATAAATTTTGGTAAATGCGTTTGATGACTTTATTTGCTCTTTTTTTTTCTTTTGTTACTTCTTATTGCAGTTGCATTATCTTGTGAATTATTTTTTTCTATTTAACTTTTACATGCTACACGAGTAAATTAACTTATTTGTGAATTAAAATCTGATAAGTGTGGAGGTTATATTCTTCTATTTTTCTTTATTTTTTTACTTACAATACTACTTTCTCTCTCTCTCTCTCTGTTTTTTTTTTTTTTGTTCAATGTATGCATTGGTTTGATTTTTGTGTAAATTAAGAAATAGTAGTCTTATTCATATTGCCATTTGTATTTGTCCACTTTACTAAACCTATTTGTCTATTAAAGTTTGACTAGGTTGTAGTCCTATTTTTCTATGCTAGTCAATTACTCGATTGTTATTTTTGTTTAGTGTATGTAATTGATTTCATTTGCCCTTTTCAATTTCTATTTATTGTTTATTTCTTGATATTTAAGATCTTACTAAGTTCTTTTTATTTTTTGTTTGTGTTTATACTTTCCAAAATGAGGAGTTACGAAGAGGCAAACAAATATTATCAAACAATGGTAAGAGAAGGTAATACTAAAAAAAATGGCTGCTAATTTCTTTTTCTTTGTTTTAGACTTTTGTTGGTAATATGAATGAATTCATTATTGTCACTGAAGGACTATTTATTTACTTGAAATGCCTCTGGGGATTAGTATTTCAGGGTCAAATACTCATTGGATTAATTGTTTGCTCATAGGCTTCACATATTTTAGTATCGCTTATTATTACTTTTCATAGTAATTGGATCAGTTTGCGAATTGTCTATTGACTGGAACATGTTCTTTATGCGTACTTTTCATATTCACCTAGATCAGTTTGCAAATTTTGTCTATTGATTAGAACATGTTTACTGTATAGTTTTTCGAGTTGAGATAGTTACGCTTTTCACTGTATTGCATGAAAATATTGATCCAATTGATGGATAAAATTTGGAAAACAAATTTGGTGATATTGTTTGCTCTATTTACTTTATGTTTTGGTTACATCTTATTTAGATGCATGTTTTTATCATTCTTTGTTATTTTAACTTTTGCATTTTATCATTGTTTGTTATTTAACTTTGCACCGTTTGCAAATAAATTAATGATTACCATTTTCATTTGGATCACTATTTATATTGGGATATTGTACTGAATTTATTTGTAAATTGAAGTGTAACTAGTAAGAGGTTCCTAGTCGACTATTATTCTTATTTAGTTTATGTATTCACATTTTATGACATCTTCATTTTAATTGGTTAGTAACTAGGCTTTCTTTTTCGTTCATGTTCTTTCTTAAATGAAGAGGGAATACGAGAGGGAAATATTGCGACATGTAATAATATGACAATAAAAAAAACCGAGAGTTTGAGAAAAAGGCGTAGACTTCAAAGAACTCATTAAAACAAAAAAATTGCAAACGAAGCTACATATTTTCGTTTTCGTCAAAAAAAAAAAAAAGGCAACTAAGCTACATATTTTTGTTTTCGTCACTGTTGTTTTTGTTTTTTGTTTTGTTTTTGAGATGCATTGTTGTTTGGAAAAATTTGTGTTGGGATATGTTATCATTTATGATATTTTCCTTTTATTTTGATGTCTTATATATGATAGTCTTAAATTTAATGTCGGTTCTTTTGTTTATAGGATTCATTGTCGCTTGGAGAATAAATTATCATTTTTGAGTTATTACCCTAGTAAAAGCTTGTCATTTTCAATAGTTAATGTTTTTTTTTTAAGTTGTGACGACATATCTCGCTTGACAAACACCGTCAATTTTTAAAAGTATACTATATTACATGCATAAACTCACTTCTCCACCCAAGAATGTTCACTAGTTTCACTTTGCCTCTTCACATTAATTTTTAAAGGTCTAGCTTTCTTGAGTTTTCACTAGTTTCACTTTGACTCTTCACATTAATTTTTAAAGGTCTAGCTTTCTTGACATTTTGAAGTATATAACCTTTGACTCTTTTGTTAATAAAGTAACTATTTTTAGAAGGATAAAATGGTTTAAAAAAGTACTTAGTTTTGAATAAAAAGAAGTTATGAGAAAGAGAAGAAAATATAGATCTAAAATAAAAGAAATTGATTATTCTCTGATTTGTTTTTTTCTTTTTCCCTTTTGTTTATCTCAAAACTTACTTGTTTTTTTTTCCTACCTTATCCCTTTTAAAACACTTTCACGTCATTCTCTTAAAACACTTTATGTACCATTTGGAAATCGGAAGCTTAGTCAAAAGTGATTTTTCAAAAATATTGGGTTAGCTATATGTCAAAAAGTAAATATGTTTAAGTGAAATATTCATATATCTCTAAGAGCTGTTGTTAAAAATAACCATAATTTTAGCTACTTCTCAAAAGTTACTTTTTTACTGGACGGACGAAAATAATAACGGTATTTATCATGAGAGAACGTCACGTTAAGCACTTATTCCATCGATACTTTTGGACTAAAGTGTTTTTGTTGTATTATTCTGAAAAAAAAAAAGAAAGATATTTTTTCTCTCTTTTGGCTGTTGAAAACTAATGAAGTGATTGAGAGAGTAATTTTTAAAATTCAATACAGTTCTTTTTTATTGTTAGGGGAAAATAAATACGCTAACGTAAATATGTTTTCATCAATGAGCATAGGCTTGCTTTTGTAGGATTGAGATAGTTTGGGAATTCTTCACCTTAGAGTTGCTTAAATTGAGGATTCATATCCTCTTTTCTTTTTGTATCATTTCCGATAAATGTTAGTGGAATTTTTGAGGAATTTCGTCTTTTACCAAGTATTTGTGGCTTTTTTCACTAGGTTGTGGTTCTGAGGATGTGCCCTGTCAAAGTGCATCCTCAGTCAAAGTAGCAGTCACGATATGCATCTTATCAATAAACTCAACAATTACTTTGGTTTAGGATATATACTTGTTTACTTCTTGATATTTAAATCTTACTAAGTTTTTTATTATTATTTTTTTGTTTATGTTCTATTTTCCGACGATGGCAAGAGGAGCTAATGCTAAAAAATGATCTCTAATTTCTTCTTTATTTTAAACATTTATTCTAAATGTTATCGTCAATTAAAAATATTTATTTTCTTCAAATGCCTTTTAAGAACTGGTATTTTAGGGTTCAAATACCCATTGGATTATAGTTTGCTTACTGGTTTCATATAATTTAGTATCCCTTTATTAGTATTCATGGTCACTGAATTAGTCATTAAATTTTGTCTACTGATTAGAAAATGTTCTTTGTCGTACAGTTTTTTGAGTGGAGATTCTTGTGCTTTTCACTTTACTGCATGTAAACTGTTGATCTTGTTGACTGAAATTGATGAATTGAATTTGATGACTTTGTATTATTCCTTTTTTTCTTCTTATTGTAGATGCATTCCCGTATGATTCTTTTTCTTTTATTTAACTTTTGTACTCTATACAAGTAAATCATTGAAAATCACTTTAGTTGTACAAAATTTATTTGTCAATTAAAATATGATTAGCAAGGAGGTTATATTCCTCTGTTTTTTTTTTCTACTTACGCGGTGTCTTTTTTTTTTTTTTTTGTTCAGCATGTACTAATTTTATTTAGCCTGTAAATTAGTGAACAACATTTTTATTTATATTACCATTTGCATTTGACCATTTTACTTAACCTATTTGTTAATTGAAATTTGACTAGCATTGAGGTTGTAGTCTTATATTTTTCAGTGTTCGTTACTCACACAATAGTTATTTTTGTTTAGTATGTGTACATTTGACCTATCTGTTTTAATGTTTATCTATTGTTTACTTGTTGATTTTTAAATCTTTATTTATTTAGTTTTTGTTTATATTTATACTTTTTAAAATGAGGTGTTATAGAGAGACAAACATCATATTCATTATCACAAGATGGCAAGAGGTGGTAAAATTGATAATTTGGCTGAATACATTATTTCATATATCTTAAGGGTATAAATATAAGATATTTGTGCCTATTTTAGGATGATCAACCATATAATACGTACAATCAATTACAATCAAACAGAATAAATCAGACAACTAATCCTAACTAATAAAGGAAACATTATCATACAGAATATTTGCTGACTTTATACGCGTATTCTCTCCCTCAAGTTGGTGTATAAATATCACACATGCCTAACTTGGATAATGAACCATAAAATGGACCACTAGCAACATCATGGGTCATTATGTCTGCCAACTGATCTACACTTGATGTAGGGACTCTTTATTTGGCCAGAATCTAGTTGTCCTTGATGTAGTTCATGTGAGCTCAATATGCTTAGTTCTAATCTTGTTGTACTGTATCGTTTGTCATCTCACTAGCCGTCGTGTTATCACAAAAGAGTACCATAGACTTAGGACCAAATCCAAGCTCTTATAAGAGGATTGTTAGCCAAGTAAGTTCTGTGGTTACATGATGAAGAGCACAATATTCTAGTCTTTAATACCTTTTCTTATTCGTGGGAATCTTATCAAGATAGATTGATAGGTCGTGATTTACTTCAATAGGAGTACTCACAGGTTCACAGGCAAAGTTACCAATTTTAGCGAAGAGATCTAATGTGTACTTTCGTTGTGAAAGAAAAAGTCATTGTTTGGGCCGAGAAAACTCAATGCCCAAAAATATTTTAGAGTACCGTCATTCATTTCAAATTCTATGGTTAGATAACTCGAGCTTTTTTATTTTTTCAGGACTATTGGCTGTAACAATCATGTGATCAACATAAACAATAAGCAAAGTAACATCATCACCATTTCTCTTGGTAAAAAAAAAAGTGATCTGCCATAGCTTGTTTATAACCAAACTCCCCAAACAATGTGTGATAACTCTATAAAATAGAGTTATTTTTCTTTTTATTTACATTTAAATTTATTTTATTCTTAAGGAATTCATTTGTTTTATTTATTTTTAGTTTAGTTTTTTGTTGTTTTATTTTATTTTATTTTAGTTGATTTTATTTAGTTTTTCGTCTAATTATTTTATTAATCCTCAGTTGTGTTTTAATTAGGTGAAAAGGCAATTAAGGAGACTAATTGGGATTAAAAGTAATTCAAAAATTAAAAGGAATTCCGGATCAGATTAATTCCATGCTTTAGGCTTCTCTCATGCGCTCCAACACGCGCTCAAAGCCATCATATTGCTTCTCTGCATGCACAATCAGAATCCTAAAGGCTTTTTATTTGCTTTGCTGACGTGTGAATGAGGAAGGCTTTATAAAGCCTTGGCAGCCGCAAGACCAAGGAGGACCCCCCTGCATAGAGATGTCAAATGGGCCGGGCCATCCAGGGACAGCCCGGCCCAGTTTAAAATAGTGCCGGATTCAGCACGGCCCGGTACGCTACTGTTACGGGTCGTGTCGGCCTGGCACGTGTAATGGGCTAGGGCTGAGCCTCGGCTTCTCAGCCCGCGGCCCAAGCCTGACCCTAGCCCATGAAGACCCGCAGCCCGGCCCAAGCCTAATTCGGTCCAAGCCCGGATTCAGCCCTTGTTCGGCCCGGCCCAGGCCCACGAAACGGCCCGTTCTAAATGCTACTGTTGGGCCCTTCACCGGCCCAACGGTCATCTCCTAAC